CTTTGATTTTAGAAACACCTTCAAGCTTGTGTTGACAACGTTTTAGGTCCTAAAATTTGTTTATTTTGTAAACCCGTTTCCAAACGCATAAGACCAATCTACTGTGAGAGCAGAAGTAATTGTGTGACCAGTCGCTGAGTTTTTCACAAAATGCATCCAGTAGAAAAATTACGATTAAACTTGTAACTCAATGAGATTGTATCCTGATACATATTCTTCCGAATCTGACTGAAAAACTAAACCCAGAACAAGTGGCTGCATCTGTGCATCATAGATGGGAAACAACGACCTAGTACATTCTGGATGCTTTCCCTGCAAGCCCTGTTTGCATAACGGACACACACACATGCACACACATGCAAGCCAACTTGCCTTGTTCATCATTTTCATTTTTTTTGTTACCATTTGGGTCATTTACATAGAAATTCTATAAAACACAGTGTATGTACTGAGCAGATGGCCGACTATCCTGGGTTTATATATCCTGATACCACACTGCACAGCCTGCTAATGGCTAAGTACATAAAGTGTAATGGTTCAATAATGCTGAATAGTTAGAATGAAGATCTGAAGTATGGGATTATTCATTTTATGTCCCCCATAATCCTCCACTGCAGAATAATGAAACATGAAATTTGAAAAAATAAAAAAACAGATCGGAGCTCACACTGGGATCCAAACTTTCATCACTTTCAACAAAGGCACAAACAAGCTGGCTGTAATTCTGAGGAACAGCGTGAATAAAGAGCCATAAAGCAATCTTACACCTTATCTTTCTTCCGCCCACACATTTGGGAGAAAACAAAACAGCCAGTGTGTGAACAGTCTGCTCGCCGTTCTCGGTGCTGATGAGCCGTTTCACCGTCTGATGAGGCCCGTGGAGTCAGGCTGATGCCAGATGTCCCAGAATAATGGGCCTTTCTTTGTGTACCTGTTATCTCTTCGCCAGGCACTCTGAATAACAAACCCGCGTCTCTGGGTGATCTGTGATTAGACAATGATGATGATGGCGATGTGGTTCGATAAGAGTGGCGGACGAGTCTCCGGTAATCTGAGTAATGAACATCCTGAAGTTGGTTATGGCTTTTGCACAGTTGTTATCAACACTTTTGCAGCATCTTAAAGGTTCTGTAAAATGGACACAGCAAATATATATATATATAAATCCAACCCGAACCGCACCTTTAACTCACTCCTGCAGTGGTTGGCATGGTAGCCTATCAAGCACAGGGAAAGCAATCCATCAGCAGAGCAGGGGGCCTCTTTGACTATCACTTAGCTGAAATTAGGTTTGTAACAGAACATGAATAAACAAATGAAGCACAGTTTGATGGAGCACGCCACACTTGAACTCGAGTATACTCAGTCGATCACGTGCTGCCTGATGCTGTGTGCTGTAAGTTTGATGATTAATATGTTGGCTTTCATGCAGCATTGGCAAACTGCACCGCAAATGTTTAGCACATCAAGCAAAAGGCTTTAGAGGAGTTGTGATGCTCATATTGAGGTTTATCTTTTTATCATTTTATCTTGTATCACAGATGAGGGTTGTATATAACTAATATTTAATAGACAAGAACTGAAATGATGAGTAATGACTATGCTGTATGGACTCCAACACAACACATGACGTCTTCTTGCGAGGAAGGAAGTGATCGAAGTTTCAGATTCACCATCTCAGACCCACGATGGCACAGCACAATTAGAACTCTCCCCCACTGATCCCCTGCCCGCTCCCAGAGGTGCTGTGTCAGCTGGACAATGTGTCAGAGCAGCCCCCATGTCACCTTCCCTGAACAGATATGCTGCTTTAAGACATGCACTGAACTCTATGTGAGCTCATGTGAGAACACAGCAGGACAGAGGTCCAGAGGATTCACCAGGAGCGAGTGGGAATGTTGATGATGTTTTTGACACACAGCAAAAGACAGTGAAATTCGAGAGCTTGTTGGGAACCGACGCTGGTGTTGATGTGCTGTAAACAAAAATACGATGACCACAGCGGAATTTATTTGCCATGTCCTGCATCCTGCAATGTCGACCCCTCGTCTGAATGCTCTGGACATTTTCCTGTTGTCTGACCCGGACAATCTCTTGCTGCGTTCTTCACATGTGATAGGCAAAGTCCGGAGAATGTCTGGACGCATTTGCCTGGACATTTTCTGGAGTTCATGTCTGAAAAAAAGGGCTTTAGAAATGGCTTCATATCCACTCTGCAACTGGACAGTAACACATTAGAAGTTTCTTCAAACCGTGTTTGCCAGACTGTGTGGCTGAGGGGTAGAATACAAATTGTAAAATACAAACCATTTACCAACACAAACCATGTACACAATCTAATGTTACACTCTTCAGGCTCAGCACCTTCTTAATGTTGAAAAAGAGGAAACCACAAATCTCTGCAGCACAGTAATCTGATAGAGTGAATAAACAAAATGCCACTTCTCAGCTTTACGTCACATGCAGTTTATGGATCAATAACCCTCTGAGGCACGGTGCTGCTGCAGCGCTCGTAATGTCATTCAGCCTAATCACGTACAATGGATCCTGGGAAGGCTATTGATTACTAGGAATACCATGGGATTCATAAACATGTGAGTGCAGTCCTATAAAATCAGCGAGGTATCACAACTGTCATGCTCTGTTTGGCAGGCAGCATCATGGTATACATACTAATGGTCTGTTTAAGGGCTGTTTTATGTTTTTTCTCATCACAGGGCTTATGATTTAGAACTTACGCAGCATGAGTCTCTCTCAGTTCTGGAGGGAATGTCTGAAGAATTCATTTTCAACACATGAAACGTCGAACATCAAGAAAAATGACACGGAGGCTTTGTGTTACGCCGCTGACAAAATACCATGGAAAAGGGAAGATAAGTCAGTGTGGGAGTTCATACAACCCACTGCGTGCTTGTGTCTAGAGAAGAAAAGGACCCACAGGCTCGGAGGAGGAGACTTGTCTGTCACCATCATCGTCGCCTGCTGCTGCCGCTACCCAGACCGGCCAAGGCTATCCAGCGCTGTGAGCGATCCATCCAGAGAGGCTGCGTTCAAGCCAGTGGATTTAAATTCCATTGGTCCCAAGTTCAGATTGAAGCAGCCATAGCTTGAGATTTATTGTCACCTAAATTTATCAGTCTATATATGTGTGTATGTGTGGTCCAATGTTACTCAGGCTGTCATAGGATGGAGGCTTGTTTTCCTTATGGGGACAAAAATCCACTCCTCATGTTGTAAATCATTAAATGTTTTGGTGAAGACATGTGTTAAGGTGAGTTTAACATCAGGATAGATTTAGGATAAGGTTTAAGAAAAAAGAGGTTAGGGTTAAAATTAGAGTAAGTTGTCATGAAATGTAAATAAGTCAATGTGATGTCCTCTGAAGTCTCAACTCTGTGTGTGTGTGTTCAGTTTCTGCAGCTGACAAGCACTTGCAACTATGTCAGCTTAATATAAATGGAGATTTTCAAATCCAAGAAAGAGAAGCACAGTCCACTACATGTCTTTGTTTTAGGAACCAGTGCAACAGACAGAGAAGTATTAGGAGGACGTTGTTAATGTAAGTCTTTTCATGGGATTCATTAACAGCAAGAAAAACAAAGATCATCAGCCTCTCTTTACCTGCTGGACTGATTCAAGATCAAATATTCTTCTTGATAAAACACATTTCTTAAATTTCTCTTTTTCTTTCCTGAAACAAAAGCAGTGCGGATTCATGAGAGACCCCTCCATGGGTCACTTACGGCCACTCGTTCTCACACGTTTGAGTGTGTTCCTCCTGATCAAAGGGAGACGGCGATGGCGTGGAATAAGTTGGCGGTCAAGCCAAATGCCACTAAGGAGCTGCAGAGGCTTCTTATGCAACGCTGGAAGAGGGCAGCTGCTGCGGCTGCATCAAAGCGACATGCCGCCCTGGTCGAGGGATGTCGACAACAGGAAAGACTGATAATTTAAGAGCGTCCTCGCTGATCTCTCTCCTCTCTGGTCTGTAGGTCAATTTGAAGAGCAGGGGGAGTATCTGAGAGAAAATTATTAAAATGGCATAATGGGCCAGACAATAGAAACAAAGCTGTGCGGCTAATATTTTTGTTAGATTACCTGTATCTATGTTATTTGAATTTAAAGGTAGCAGTGTATTTCCAGTGGAATCTTCACTGATCCATTTCAACCCAGTGAAAGTGTATCCCTTCACCTTTAAGCATGAAGAAAGAAAACAGAAAAGAAAGTGAATAAAAAAGGAATGTCTCAAAGTAAAGTTTTGAACCAAGCAATAAGACAAACCATGAAGGTTATTACCCTCAGAGGTTGTGCTGCTGGATTATGGTGGATAACTTTTGCAAACCTGAAATAGACATTTTTTATACAGCCAGTCTGATAATAATATGACTCTTCTCCTCCCTCTCTGCTAATACACTATACTTTAAAATTTGGAGTTCAAGGACTTTGCTAAATGTCTAAAATGAAAAGTGTTTCCATTATGAATTGTGATTACACTTGTGTGACTGTTTTCGATATCTGTAAAGTACAGAGGAGAGGAGAGGCAGGGATAGCAGGTGACTCTGTGGCTCAGACTTTAATATTCACGGAGAGAGGAGGCCGCTTCCTCACACCGCAGCAGTGATCTTCTCCCGGAGCAGCGGCCCCTTCATGTGTCAAAAAGGATGCCCTCATGCGCCCCACGTTTAATTGAATTAGCTTGGCTTTAGACAGGAGGGTAGCCGGGGCCACGTGTGGTTTTGACATTACATAGCGACAGTTTATCTGAGCGCCGACAAATGGCAGTGAAACCCAATTCTCCACGCGGCCTCCACTTTTAGACCAGGAAACAGGAGGTGAAAGGTTCAGCGGCTTTCAAGCATGACAGGCCAGACGCAGACAGAGCAGGCAGCTAGTTAAGCAGGTCATTTAAATGACCCCAGCGAGCCGTAGGGCCCTGACACACCTCTGCCGCTGTGTAAGGAGATGGAAAGAAACCACACAAGACAACACGCTGCGTTTGTTTTCTTTTTTTTAATGGAATGTACTGTATCTTTTCAAGGTATGAAAATAGATCTCACGTCGAAATAAAAAACTGGACGGTGGCTACAAAGGGCGCAGCTATAACGGTGTGTAATGATGGCAACAGGAAGGTATGTCGGAGAGATGCATCTCATCAGTTGCATTAGACACAGGGCACAGCTATCGCCCAGTGTGTGAGATGACAGCAGCACAGAGGCATGTGTTGGTTTGGTGGCGGTGATACACCGGGTAGAGGAGAAAGCAGTGGGGAACACCTCCAGCAGACAGGAAGCAACATGAGCCACAGTGAAATAAAACGGTTCCTGACAGCGAGACACGTGACCTGTCTCTCTGAACGTTGCCCCGTGTATCACCACTTTTACACGTTTCACAACAATCACATTATTTCGTCTCATGAAAATCATTTCATACTTTAAAATCTATAACGGATTAGATGAGATGGTTTTATGACTGTTTCTCAGCGGCACAGCTGCTGCAGACACTTATCATCTGACTGGTTGCAATAAAAGTCAGTGGACTGAGCCAAAGGGTCTGTTTTAGCTAAAAATGAATTGCTTTGATTGCCAAGTACCAATTCAAGTCAAAAATCCATTGTACTTATGAAATTAGAGGATCAACAACTCGGCATCTTGCTAAAAATAATTTTGCATTCAAAACTCTCCAGTCCAACATTTATTATATCAATTAGAGAACGTAATTCCTCACAATGATTTTAGCTGTCATGAACCTTTTGACTATTATCAGCTAGATACTTTTTTATCTAAAGTGTGGGCAGACTAGACACAGTGAAAATACTTTTAGCCCTTTCGGCCTAACTGTCGGAGTTGCCCCATAAGATTACATTGTAGCCTCATTCCAGCCATTGCCGTCTAGTCGTAGCCAATTGCAAAGGTTTTCGCAAATTTATTTACACACCCACAAATGAACAAATGCTGCGTTCCATTACACCTCCGAGCTCTGCTCTCGGAATGACGTCACCCCTATAACCCAAGTTGATAGCGTTCAGTTGCCCAGGAACAATGTTCGCCACTTAGACATTTTTAGCAAAAGTAGTATGTGGCATTTTACGCATACTGACACAGTAGTGACACATCCACAGACAGTAATTGGTCTGTCCTATGTGTACAACACATTTAGTGACAGAAGTGCTACTAAACAGTAAAAACTGCAGCTTTCATGATTGTTGATACACAGAGTGGCTATCTTGGATTTTGAAGTCATGGGTGGTGAGATTTTCCGACCTGAGGGGGCGTTCAAGTTGCAACCTCTGACTCTGGGATCAGTAATTCCGGGATCTGAGGTGTGATGGAACAAAGCAATAGGACCCAGGTTGGAAAATGCCCTTTAAGGCCAAAAAGAGAGTTTAGCATGTGTCCTCAGTGAGAAAACTTTGTGGCACAGATGGGCCGCAACCAGGTGACAATGGAATAAAGCTCCGCTATAGGCACTGCCACAAAGAGAAGTGCAACAACAAAATGTATCTGTACATTTAACAGAAAACATAATGTCCCATAGGAAGATAGTTGGCACTAATCTACTATCATCAAACTAAACTATGATAACGTCTAAATTAACACCAATTAAAACATTTCAAGCTCCTCATTTGTCAACCTTGAAATGTTTTGGTTTCCTCGACGTCTTAATGCAACCAGTGACAATGTCTTTAAAGCAGCTCACTTCCTGAAAACTGTGGATACAACAAAAGCTCCACTGAGCGTGTCACTGACTTCTGCTGAACTCTTCTCTGTGATGAGCTCGTATCGCGCTCTGATTTAAGACTCACAAGAAAACAAGACACAGGTTTTGTATCTGTGAATGCAGCCAAAGAAAATGTAAAATAGCTGAAGTACACAATGAAAATACTAAGATGCACTGTGGCAATTATTAAACGAAGCACTTAACACAAATGATGTACTGGTAGAGCAGGTATCTCATCATATACAGAACCCATAGCATTTTAGTTTCGTATATTCTGAGGTGTACAACTGCACAAGAGAGATGTAATGTAATGAAATGATTCTTTGGTTCAGTTAAAAAATTAAAACATGGACAATGACACATTTTTACCAACCATAAAGTGATAACATCCAACGACCACCCTAACTACGTATGAAAGCGTATTCCCAGTGGACTTCTGAGTGACTTCAGAGCGAGTATTTCCTGTTCCACTCCAGCAACAACCACACTGAACATTCATCAACAACATAACATTTTATAGAAAATATATATACACAACTAATAAATAAAGGGATAAACCCATTGCACGGTAGAATACAGTTGTTTTCTCACATGCTTTTTGTCCATCAGTCTTTTGTGAAAGAAGTCTCTGAGTCGAAAAGGGGGATGGGGGCTCTGCTCTTTGGAAACCACTACATGGAAGAGAGGTTCTCCTGGAGGGCAGAGCAGGGGGGAGATGCAGCCCAGGTCGATATTCATCCTCCGGCTCAGCGTCCAATTAACCTGCGGATGCAATCAATTAGACAGAATGCAGACTGGTGGCACCTGACGCAGGAGCCAAAGGAAATCTTTAAAGTCTTGAAACATGGACTTAACGTAAGGTTGCTTATTTCTAACAGTTAGGAACTAACGATTGGACGTTCTCTCACGTGGCAATGTGGAGGAAACTTTTGTGTTTTACATAAAAGAAACAAGAATTGTGTACTGCTCAGTATCCATAATCTAAACATCTTATTTTTTGAGAGTCTCGGGGGAGATGGAGACAATTGGTCGAGAGGGAGAGTACACTATGAACTTGTCAGATGCCAAAAATACAAGTCTTTTAAATGTCTTAATGATTCTTTCAGCTATTTATTTCTGTAATTGCCTCCAGTCCCCCTGGCAACCCTCAAAGGATAAGTGGGATGAATAATGGGTGGATGATGGATATTTCAAAAAAAAAAAAACCCTGTGACAAAAAATTCTCTTCACAAATCCAGCTGGGACAAATATGATAAAGCCTGTGTTCATTTCATCCATTTTCTTCCTGAGAAGAATTCAAATACCAACTCCCTGACCTCAGTGCTACAACCCAACTCATCCTGAAGACAAATATCCCTTCACTTTGATATTAGTTTGATATATATTTGTTTTTTTTTTTTTACTACTAATAGGTTTTGACGTTTTTTAGTAAAGTTAACTTTAAAACGCAGGTTCTTGTGAAAGATTAAAAATCCCTTTCATAATAGTAATGGTGGAGAAGGTGTAGAGCCATGTCACAGTGTCTCTCTCCAATTCTTGGCTCGGACAGGATGTGACACTTGCCTGCAGTTATAGTTTATTACAATGACTAAAGAAGGAGATGAGTGTGAATCAGTTTTCAGGAATGTTTGGTCCATTCATCTTCCTCCGGGTTGAAACCACCTTGTGACAACATTCACCATGTGCCTCAGAGAGCCACGTGCATGAGAGCAGCTCATTTCACCACGAACAACTTGAGCCAGGACTGAGAGAGTGACCTGAGCTGCTGGAGCGTGCGAAGCTGCAAACGCTTGGCTCTGCTGTCACACTTCAGAAGAGGTTGGAGAACCTGTGAGTGTGTAATTTGCGCCAGGGATTCTCCTGACCGCCTCTGATGTTTACGCGCAATCTGTGCGTCTCTATGCGTTATTTGAGCAGCCAGCCCACATTTGACAACTTTTCAAATACGAAACTAAAACATATCACTGCTCTGTATCACCCACGTCGGCTCAGTGTAATTCTAACAACACATAACCTTTATGGCACTGTTTTAAATAACTAGACGGCGTGCGTAATTAAATCTATGGATCGCCGCGCGTAAAATCAGGTTTTGGATAAATATGAACTCTTTAATATCAGACCTGCTCCACCATCTTTTTCTTTGGGGGGGTTTCACCTCCATGTATGTGAGTTGGTCTACAGCAGGGACTCGCAAACTTTTCTTTACGCAAAAAATAGAATCCACAGTTTGTGTATTTTGTTCCTTCAGGGTTGGATCTGTGCGGGAGGACTGTAAACCTATGCTCGCACCAGATGTCCTCACCCATGGTATAAATATCCAGAGAATAAAACCAAATGGGAAAAAACGCATCCTGAATTTGTCAAGGAGACCCCCAGATGGTCCCCGGACCTGGGGATCCCCCTCCTCTCTTTCTCCTAATGCGTCTTACCGCAAATGGCGCACCAGTGTCCGCGGGACTCGCAGCAGGTCACGCCACGTTCGGCGTGCTTCGGACCGTCTTCTGTCCGGGCATCTGCACGACGAGCAGCTGCTGCTTCTGCCGGGTGGACTTGACGGCCAGGATCGCCTGGCGGTTCTTGTACTGGACCATCTGCAGGGTGATCTCCGCGTTCCAGCCTTCGTCCTGCGGGCACCTGAAGTCGATCTCCTTGCCCTCCGTCATGACCACGGTGAAGTAGACGTACTTGCCCTTGCGCTCCACGCAGTCCACCGTCTTCATGTTGGCGAAGTGCAGCTCTTTGACTTTGCCCGTGTCCCCGCCGCCGTGGTGCGGCTGGTGGTGCTGCGGGTGGTCGTGCTGCTTGGGCGGCAGCAGCAGCACGCCGTCCTCGGTCAGGACGCAGTGCTTCTTCTTCCAGAGCTGCAGCAGCCCGTCGCTCCGCTTCTCCAGGAGACCCTCCTTGAACACCTTCCTGCCGTTCTCCAGCATCTTGTCCCGCTTCGCTACACCGACGGACGGACGCGCAGACGGAGGTCAGGTGGAGGCATGAGATGCTGCTGGGACTGCGGTGCCGGAGCGTGTGGAGGAGCGGGCTGGAGTGGCTGAGGCTGGCTGCTGGTCACAGTGTGTGAGGGGGCGGGGGTGGTGCACCGCCCCCCTGAGTGACACCAGCTCCACACACGATGGAAACAGCTGAGAGCAGGCAGCATTTCACCAGAGACAACAGTCCTCACTGAGAGCTGCACATTCTAAACCACTGTCATTTTAATGTGACATGATGAGAGAGACAGATACATGATGGAGCAATCATCTTCTCTTCACACACACACATTTCATGTGTGTATATTACACATCAGTACAGTACACACTTCATTATAGTTCATATTATATATATATATACACACAGACATATGCACAATCAAATTTAATCAACACAGACATACATATATACCCATATCTTATGTGTATGCACATATTTGTCTCACAAACCATACAATCTTTTTGTATGTATATATTGTTAAGGCTGTATGTGAATGTATGACTGTGTCCCTGTGTTTCTCTTGTCTCTCCTCCAGCTCCACCCTGATTAACCGATCAGTCATCAATGAGGTGAACCTGCTCAGTGGACTGAGGTTCTTTAAGACTGTGTCAGGATCAGAGAGGCTTCCAGCGTGGGGCTGCTGGGCCTCAGCATGGGATTTTAACATGGTGTGTGTCTGTGTTGTTCAGTGATTTTACATGTTAGGGTTAGGGCAATCATGGGGCGTAACAATATATATATATATATATATATATATACACTGTATGTGTACATACACATGATATAAACATATCAGTTATTTAAAATCATTGTTATATAATATACTGACTACAGGCTGAACTGATAATTTAATTTGAATTTATAATGAGTGTTTTTTCCTCACCAAGGTTGTAGGTGTGAACCATTTGTAACAAATGTTCTGAAGCAGTTTGAAGTTTCTTGTTCTGGTCGTCTCTACATCACCAAGTCAAATGTCTCTCTACTGTTTAGGTGGTATTTTATTTTATTTTATTTGGTAATGTGTTAAATTGAACTGTAAACCACTTTTGGAAGTGAACCATCTCGCAGCAATGGCGCCCTCTGCTGGCAAAAGGCTTTCTATTAAAGCATTTGCTCAAATTACCTTGAGGAGCAAAAAACAAGTCAACCACGAGACATGTTTATCCAATTTATTCATGAACATACACGTACAGTTATTGAGTACATTAGTATTTTTGTAGCATAGCATTTTGCCTTGACAACAGCTGCTCGGAGGGACCCTACAGAACCCTGTCACGTCCTTTTCCAATGAACAGGATTTGAATACTCCCTGCAGAATGAGAAGTACCCTGGCTCTCCACAGTGGACACGATGCTGCCCAACAACCAACACATGGCTGTTTTCACAACTAAAAAGGCATTAAGAATTGACTGGGAAGGAGGCAGGCTACGGTTTATTCTTGGTCCCCCCCCCTCCTTACTTTAAATATTGCTCTGACGTGCTTCTCTGAGGCCTTCTGGGTAACGAAGGGAGGGTCTGGGTGGGGCGGGTGGTCGGTCACTGGACATGCAATGGCCTCGTCACGTTTGCCCTCTCTCTTTCACAGTGATAAAATGAACATGGAGCTCAGGGCCTAGACTAAGTTCCATGGGTCACCTGACCAGTCACTAATTGGCAACACCAGAGGTAAATGTCTTAAACTGAGGAGAGAAAAAAGGGGGGGGGCGGGGTTTGGTGAACCTGACATGTCGATAAACGCTTGAAAAATCTTTCCTCGTCGTTTGCTGTGCTACATCTGCCCAACATCGCTGTTTTCGGAAACAGGCCAAGTGCGGCGTCTCCCCCGGTAAGAAAGGTGGCACGCTTACGTAGCACGAGTTGAACCATCCGTTGAGTGAGATATCAGCACCCTCCCTGTTCCCTTTGAGGCAGGGGGGTGGTCAAAGTGCTGCTCATAAGGAATACTCAGATCACAGATGATAGGACGCCACTGGCACACCACACACTAGTACAAAGTGCAAGAGAAACAACAGCCACGCTACTGTGAGCCTACAAGGAGCCTGAAGCACTGGAATACTGGGGCGAAGAGACCTGAACTCGCCATCCTGCCAAACTGTCTGACGGCCTTGCTCATCTACAGAATTCTCTGGAATGTTAAAGAGACTTGACCAGGTGGGATATGATAAAGTTAAAACTAACTTCACTTCTGATCGGTTTCGACGAGAGACGAGGACTCGTTTTGAGAGAAGGGTACCGAAGGTGCCAGCCAGTCTGCTCACTGGAATGTATCAAGAGTGGAACGTGGTTGAGATCCCACACTCAGCAAGATTGTAAAAACTGGAGTGGACACCCGGCTGCCGGTCGCCCATCTGTCCTCCATCTCCAGAGCTGGAAATGCTACAATGCTTTTTACAAGTGCTAAAGGCCCCCGTTAAGAATATATATTAAAAAAAAAAAAAGATTCACCTTGAACAACCAGAGCTAACTTTGGTAGGAGCGAGAGGAGGAAAGGGGGAGTTTATAAATTGACGTCACCATGATGCAGTCTAAACCACAGCTGTTGTCTAAGAGCAAATACAACAAAAGACTTCACAAGAACCCAAACTAGTTTAGCAGTGAAGAAACAAGTTCATGCTTTTTGAGGGAAGTTTTTTTCCTGTATTCTATCTATTTTACAGAGAAGGAGGAAGAGAAGGAAAAACAGGTCTAGTAAAATACTATGTATATTGAGCCACACAGCTCCCAGTATATTACCATGAGGTTTTGTAACAAAAATCTTGAAACCTTTTTTTTCTTCAAATTCTCTACCAAGAAAAATACAAAACATTATAAGGCGGTAAGTAACTATTTTTTTTTTATATATTTTTTTCCTCTTTTTAGGATTTCTTAATTTGAGAAGCCGTTACAGTGCAGTTGATCCTCAAGACAGCCAGGCCAGGCTTCACTGCTGCTTGCACTCAGCTGGGGGGGCTGCATCCTTCTGGAAGAAATCACAGGGATGAGGAGGAGGAGGGAGCTGTTAATATGAAAATCACTCAGGACACACACTTAGACACACTTCACACACTACACACAGCCAAGCCACTTCAACACCTAAAACATTAAACACGCTTTCAGACATCTAAATAGAGTCTGAAGTGTCATGTCCCAACTATTTTGAGCAAAGCTTAAAAGAGTTTTCTTTAAGACAAAACAAACCACGTATGAACGAAATGAGTGACATGTTGACTGAGATAACTGGGGTTGGGCGTGTTTATTGGGACTATGACTTCAGATGTGTATAGATCAGCAGGTAGAAATAAGACATCTGCACCACATGGCGGCCCCTGAGGTTTAAGGATTTAGATGCCAACCATGATCTGCAATGTCCCTGGTCCTTATCCCTCCACAGATCTTTGTTCCACCTCTATCTGATTATTTTGCTATCCACAGCATCAAGGCAAAGCTACAAACAATAACTGGACTAGATTCCTTTCCTATTGTTGTCTTTTTACAGCAGTGGAGGAACAGAAAGGATACACAGCGAGGGAGGGGTATGGCAACAATGGTGCCGAAGATGTCACAGGTCTATCTGTGATAAGCTTCAGTCCACTCATAACACACGTCTGGACAATGCATTGGCTACAACCAACATCAGTCCACGTTTAAGGACTTGGTCTGATAACTTGTTAAATCACTTTATCTCCACTGTGACTGATTCAATTTCTTCATGTTGGCTGATAGAAAACCCAATATCAGGAAAGAAGTCCAATAGTGTATATTTTATGAGTATGTAAAGATTATATTACTCACAGAGGCGACGACTACATATTAAGGATCTATTTGAAACGGATGTCTGCCAGTGCTGCTTATTTTTGGTGTTGCTACAACTGGGTGATAAATGTAAACACTTTAAACACAACCCTCAGGCCGCTGAGCTCAAATTAATTAGCTGTCAAAAGCACAGGAAACACTTGAGTGTGTCAGACAGGGAGATAATTAAGAGGCCATCATATCCGGGGGAAGGGCGTCCTTCCAGCAGACATTAGACACTTGTAGAGGGGACGGCACACTGCAGCTGTTCAGGCTGCTGTCCATGGCCTGATGTCGTACTGACTGCACAGTGCAAGGTCATTTTCACCACTGTGAAACACAACTGGCCTTTAGGATACTTTAGTGACCACAGAAGGTTTTGAGGACAGAAATATTAGCTTTAGTGTGACAGTATACACTGAAGTTTCACCAGAGCAAATGCAGGCTAGAATGAATCATCTGTTTAAAGACCTTCCGAGACATGTTTTTAAAATCCGTTGCCAGAAATAGTGTTTCCGATTATAAATGTAACGATGGCACTCTCACACATATAGAAAACTATTTCCTTGTATTGTGGATATTTGCTCACGATTGGTTAGGTCTTAGGCAGACAGACACATTCAAGGCCATTATACCAGCATTAAAAGCATATCTATAGAGACAAGGGAGCAGACAGAACTAATGTGGAAAAGGGAAGAACATAAAAACATGAAGAAATGGACCAATGGTGATTCAATGAAACAAACATCCACAAATAAAACTCAGAATTCATGGCAGACAAATCCTCATCCTGACAAATAAAAATAAATGAAAAAAACAGATGACATTTGTAGACGGGAGAAGTTCAACATGGTGGAGGAAAAGAAAAGGGAAGGTCGGACTATTTTCAACATACAGAAGTGATACAGGTGCAAATGCAGAGCTTAATATGGGTCAAACTTCAAAACAACCAACGACAAACCGGTGTGTTAGTAGATCGGGAGGGTGCAGCACGGCGGCAGAAGAGAAAAGGGGTGCTCATGGATGGGGCGGGGGGTGCAGAGAGATGGATGCACGATGGAAAAACAGGAGGGAAAGAAAAGAGGTGGGGGTGTGATGGTAGTAAGCTGACAATTCACAAGCTTTACCTACCAGGACAGGGTTATTTTTCTACTGTCACCATTTAAACCTAGTGAGGAAAAATTTAAAGAGTAGCTGACAAAAGATGCCAAAGTGATCGAAGATGAAGAAACATTGATGAATAGGAAAAATAAAAATAAAAAAAGCAAAACTAGCAGAATACAGAATGTCAAAGATGTTTTTTTTTTGCTTAGCAAAGAAGAAGCAGAGGTCATGCTGGTTTACATCATGTAGTGTGAAGTGTTTGATTTCGAACCAAATCAATAAGGATGGACTTCAAGAAGCCCTAAGCCTGTGTATGTGGACTCACACAAAATGTGCAACAGCCATTAAAAAGTTTAGCTTTACACTATAAGCACATTATGTATCAAGGGATTCGGTTTAATGGAGCTTGCGCTGCTTTTGTTCACTCTGCTTATTCATAGTTTTTAAGCTAAATTAGCTGCATCATTAAAGCAGTGACACAGAAACCAGTGAATAAACAGAGCTGACAGGAGAGGACCGGTTATTTGTCTCGGTGGAATTACAGCAAGCCTCCGCAGGTTTGCGCTTCATCCACCCATCTACATTTTTACAATTGTGCCACAGTTTTCCAACACAAAATAATGCAACTACATGAGACAGCAGTGTTCATATCAACTTATTAACCCATTTAGACCTGATGCCATATATGCATGAAAATACCAAAATAAGACCACATGTGCCATTTCCTTTAGAGCTGGATGGGCACCAGTGTGTTTTAGGTCTGCGGTATATATTTGCTGTGAACAACGCGTACACAAGTTGGCTGTTTTGCGTATCCTCCTCGAGTGTCATCCAGCTTTGTCCGATTACCACAAGCAAAACCAGACGTGGCAGAAAGATCGTCTGAGCCAAAGTGTTTGTGATGTAATACATCGCAGTATGCTAAAATACTTGCAGGAAAGGCGAAATGGATTATGGGAAATGCAGTTTGTTTGTTAGTGGTCTCGGCCTGCAAAAAGTGTTTAGGTTGTGTTTCGACAATGGCTGATGATCTAAGCGCTGGGAGCGATATTGAAGCAGAGTACAGCAAAAATAAAAACAATGAAGAAGCTTCAGACCTGGACGATGTTCATGAACATTTGCGAAAAGGCAATGATTTACAATTAAAGACAAATATTGAAGCTACCTGAATGTTTTTTTATTTCTCTATATATACACACGTCTCCTACTGTTCAGAAATTTGGCAATTCTGTCAGTTCTTCAGAAAATGGTTCGAGGTTGTTGTTTTCAAACAACACTTGAGTTTGATAGGGTTTTTATTCTGCACTTTAGGGCTTAATGGGTTAATTTCTTTCAAGCATGCCAGATCTGTGTGTTGCTTATAGTTAAGTTTCAGGTTTTAGTAACAACATGCAGCAGTCAGACTTAATTGACTGATGAAAAGTCATGCTTAAAATACAAGTAAAGATAAGTTTAAAACCATGGTGAACAACAAGAGTGTTTCGTTCTGTCTTAGTCCAGGGGCCAAATTAGATCATGACAACAAAATAAAAGCTGAAGCAAAATGAGATGCATTTGACAGTATGTATTCTGTATGTTGAAATCTGACAAGTCAATTTAAGACAGCCATTCTCTTCCTGCAGCTCAGGACGCCCAGAGGGCACCGGGTGGTGTCGTGCGAAAAGTTTCTTACTGTGATAACGACAAAACATTTACTCATGAACTGGCAAAAGGTTCTGAGAGATCACTGCAGGCTATCCATGGCCTCCAGAGCATCCTGAGCCAACTAAGTTGAGAATAGCTGAGTAAGGTCTCTCTCAGGACACCAGAGATCTTTAGAGAGGGGGGGGGGAGTGTGTGTGCTGGGGGGTGAACTCACCTTGGGATCATAGTCAGGGTCGTTCTCCTCATCAGCCTCCTCCTCACCTTCCTACACACACACACAGCACAGAGACGTCAGTCTAATGGGTTCCCCCAACAACCATAATAAGCTTGTATTCACGTTTACAAAAACAATAAAACTACATCTCACTGTGGTCAACAGTCTCACTAGTTAACTGTGCAGTGCCCTAAGTAGTCTCACCTCATCATCAGCCTCCTCCCCCTCTTCATCGTACTGTAAGAACAAAAGGGAGGATTAGTTAGAAACCTAAACCGTCACATTTGTAATGAAGAATACCCAACTGCCAAGGAACTTAGCAATGTTATCTCAGGCTACATCCATGATACAACGTCGTCTAAGTCATTGTTTCCAAACATCACTGTTTCTGCTCGTCCAGACTAAAACACAGCCAAGACGTTTTCAAACTGAACTGGGCCCAGCAGCTTTTCCAAACATACCCATAGCCAAGTTCATGCATTATCAAATGAAAACGTAGTATTATGGATGTAGCCTTAACTGCTGAAAATCAGTGTGCAGTCACGTTCCGCCCAACGGAATAAGCGATACTCACATCGTCATCGTCATCCTCTATGGCCTCTCCTGTGAAGTAGAGCACGGCCCGAGGTACGATCCGCTCACGGATGAAGTGGCCGATTTCAAAGTCAGCAGCCAGAACTGCCTCCGAGTCCTCGTCCTGAAGGAAGACAGACATTTGATTTGTGCATGTCCGGTAGTCTCCCCTAAAGATGCACTACACTGAGATTTTAAACAAAGCAGCATGAGGCAGTTCAATACAGCTCCAGGTATTCAGTGTGTATTAGAGTTTGTTAGGAAGTTATATATGTATATCTATATAGATATATCTTACACGTGATAAATTATTTTTATACTTTCACCAAGTATTTCCAATTTTTCCCCATACAGCCCAAAAAGCACTGTAACTTAATATAAAAAAAGTAATCTTCATCGAGGTTCAATTCCCAACATGTGGATTTTACCTTGCACTAAAACCAAATAAAACCTGTGATTCTGGCTCATCTCAGAACTATGACTAGAAAAACTGATTAACGTTAAAAGTAGTAAAACTAACTGTAACTGCCTGTATGAAAGGCAAGAACTCGGCATGCAGTGAATAAGCCATAACAATAAAACCTACTTTTCTATTTCCATTTTCTCTGCATCCCAACTACAACTGGGTGCTTTAAAAGACTGATTATTCTTCCATTTCAAATCAAGTTAAATCACCGAAATCGAATTAAAGGGGGAGAAGAGGTGCTTGAGTTCTTTGACAGGCAGTATATAGGGTTTTGGTATTAGTACTGATGATATAAGGCATAGGATTTCAGCCACGTTTAAAAACAAGTGCAAGCTTTCTGGAGTTTGGTGACATATCAGATCAATAAAAAACAGCAAATGATTAATTTCTTCACTTCTGCAAATTTGGAAAGATGGAAGTGGAATTATCTAGTGATGGCGTCAGTGAAACACAGTTTTAAACAAACCCAAATACATAAAGTGGAAGAACAATGACTTACCAGTTCTCCACTTTCTGGAACTGTGAAAGAAGAAGAATAGATATGGTTTGTTTAAATAAACAGTAAATTTCATTCCATGATTAAATAATCCCTCATATTCCTGCCCCATCGTTCTTACCCTCTGGTGGAGTGAAGAAGTTGAAGAAGGAGTCGTTGGGGACTGTTTTGGTGACTGTCCTGACGGTGCCGCGACCCTTGTGCTTCTGTTTCTTCTTAATGGTTTTCAACGTGACGTTCTTGCCCTTTGTCCAGTCAATCGTGCAACTGTGGTGGAACAGGAGGAGGAGGCAGCGTCAGAAAGCAACGTCAGTATCCAACATTTTAAAATGTCAAATCTAATTAGAGATTAAAATAAATCAGCTTAGATTTATTTTAGGAATGCAAGTGGTGAGGTCACATAAAGATGAGTCAGAAAATAATGAGGTCATGATGAGAAAATGTTTGGTGAAGACTATATTGGATGCTGTGTGTGGGGGGGGGGGTTAATAAATAACAGCTCATGTATAAAAAGGAGGCTGACATTATAAACAGAATAATAAACTGACAGAATGACAACAAATTATCTAATTTACAAAATGAAGACCATCACAAAACAAATTAATGTTAAACTTAGGGCTGAAACTATCAATTATTTTAGTTTTTGTGTATTCCATTGATTATTCAAGCAGTATCTGTAACTTACATATCATAAAAGCATACTTAATATAAGACACACTGTCATTCTGCATACACACGTAATGGTCAGAAGCTCTGCTTAATGCCCAAAACAACATATTTATCTAAACCAGGGGTTGGCAGGTAAGCTTGGCCACTGATTCGCTGTCACAGTATAGTGTTTTCCAATTAGAAACAAACAGATCAACAGACGTGTGTCTGTACACTAAACCCATGGGTGACCCGATCAACATTACACACAGCAACGAGCCATAACGCATTCAAATACTAAAAAAAGGTTGTCAATATGGACATGCTCTAGCTCGTAGAAGCTCGGCTAAACACCAATAATGACCATTTTCCCCTTAAACAAACTATTCAAATCCAAGGAACTAAATCAGCATGTCCACAAAGCTCGTACCGACGATCATGCTACTTTTTTTTCTGGGGCTCACCACTCGGTTTTGCTACTCGCTATTTTCTCAGGTCTTATGTCATTCAAGCATGTGACAGACACGTACGTAGCATAAGCATGTTGTGCAAGAGTAACAATGCTTTCTGGGACAAACTGACCACTGAGCAGTAGTCTGTTCGGATTTATTATTTGAATCGAGGGAATGTTATTTGAGTAATTGTTGCAGCTCTGGTGAAAGAGACACATAACTGAAAAACAGGAAAAAGCAAATGCTAATTCTTTCGCTTGCTAAATCAAATTCACGACAGCATAATGCAACACAAATGACAGATGGCCTGATTAAACAACAGAATTCGGAACTGTACTCACCCTGTGCAGCACATGATTTCTGGGCCGTCAAAAGAAAAGGGGTCGCTCTCGTCGGGCTCTGACCTCATCTTGTAGGTTTTTGTCAACACTGTGTTTGTGAAGAAGTCGTTGGCCTCAAAGTGGAACTCTAACGTGAAGCTCTGGGTGAAGAACGCAAAAAAGACAGGGTTGAATACAACTCACTTGGCAAATGAGCAGATCGCTTTAAGCTATTTACACGAGTGTCAGCTTACTCACCATGGGCTGTCCTGGATCTGAGAATTTAACTTTAATGTCTTGTAAATGTTTAAGGATGGGCTCATCATGTTCCTGAGGAACAGAGACAGCACCAGAGCGTTAGATCATCCAGAAAACGAGAAAGAAAAGAGGCAATGTGCCACACACTTTGTTATACCCCCTTTCAAACCCCTGTGCTGCGCTACTTGGCCAGCAGGTGGAAGCACACCCTGATTTTTCATTGCTCAACTGTGACCCATTTTGTCTGGCTGGTCAGGAGCCGTCTGGATCAGCCTACCTGCAGCATGTCACTGAGCAGGTCCACGTTTTTGAAAACCGTTAACCAGAACTCGGGGATGCCTTTGGGGTCCTCCTTCTCCTCGTCCTTCTTCTCCTCCTCTAGTTTGGCCTTCTCCTTCATTTCATCCTGATTGAAGGAGACATTTTCCTCTTCAAAATAAGGCTTGCCCAACCACTTGCTCTTTTTCACTATGTCAACACAAGATTTTCACCCAGGATGATAGCACTGGGGAGAAGGTGAATAGCCACAGAATAGCTACAATTTTAGCAGCAATAAATCATTAAACTGATTTCATCAAGTCCGATGCCGCTCTACGACTTACATTCAAATCCTAGTCTTTCATTATTAGCTGCATGCAATGCTTCCATTTTATGAAGTGAACCTTATTGAATTCTGGTTTAGCAAAGAGGGCACATGCATAAAATGTAAGCAGAAAGATAAGAATTCAGCCCGACAGGAAGCATGCAGGTGTGTAAACGTCACCTGTACCTGCTTACTTACGGTCAGCTCTTCCTCCTCATCTGCCTTCCATTCACATTCCTCATCTGTGGGCTCGTAAGCTGCTTTCACGATGTCACTTCTCTGTCAACGGGAGAGGAGAAGGTTAAGAGTTTGTACCTGTGGCTCTAAAGTAATGCGCATTACTCCATTATCTCTGTGTTCCATCATGTGATGGGATTCTTAAAGAAATGTAAAATTACAAACACAAAGAAAATAAGGTTTTCTGTTAAATCAAGAGGAAGTTGTTTCAGTGATCCTGCCCTGCTATTTTCACTGGAAGGGGAGATAATGAAAACACCGGCCACTCCTTCAATCCCTGGTTTGTTTTCACGAAAACAAATGTGCCTGATGTGCTGCATTAGGGATGTGGGAAACATGTGGGTTGACCGTCAACAAAATCGCTCCTCGCACATAAAAGTTTAGAGCAGGGTCATTCTACCTTACTGAACAACATCAGTTCTGCTGAGTCATGTGACCTACAGAAGTATGAAAACTCCATCTTTAACCAGTGTAACAACAGGAAGTGTTTTATTCCCACATCAATGACAAGGCCTTCACTTTGCTTCATCTCTGATCTTGCTGCAGATTCTGTGGAAGTGAGACCGCATCAAGCATGTTGTGTATTTGATAAAGAATTTATCACATGCATTATGTTTTCTTGTGCAGTTACTCTGAACACTGATAAACACTTAACATCCAACACAAACAAAAACACGCAACGCGGCTGCATAAACATTGTCGAATCTCAAATTAAGGATAAAGAATGTGACGTACTTTGTCAAACAGGGGTTGGTAGAGAGCTGCGTACTTCCTCTCCAGTTCATGTACTTCTTCGTAGAACTTGGCCTCAATGTGGGCACACTTCACCTGCAGGTTTTTCAGGGCGTTTACGCGTCTCTTCACAACCTTTGGTAAACTGTGGGACAGACAGAAGCAGAAAAGATGTGAGAGGAATGCTGGGGGGAAATAAGAAGGTCCTGGCACTCAGAAGTTTTGATTTACCGCATGTCCTCAACTATGAGTAGGAGATTAAAAAGTAAACAGGAAAGACATGGTATGAGTACTTGATATTTTGTGTGGTTTAAAGGCTACAACTGATCTCAGATCTGTAATATTTGTTTCGCATTCAAGCATGTGTGACCAGGCCTTGATGTGTCTTCTAACTAAAATTCAGTAATGTGGATGCAGCCTGTCATGAAAACTTGTCTTTCAAATTATGGTACTCAAACATGACGATATTAGTATGTGTTGACTTGTGACACGTCGACATAGGGTAATTATAAAACTTAGAATGGCATGTGTTAATGCAGCAACCATATATAATAACAATATAATTTGTAATAATTATTATTTCCCTAATGGGAGAAGTATATAACATTGTCCTGTCCAATCAAAACTAATATATGAACTCTAAATCAGTGAATATCATGGAATTTAAGTGAAAACAGTTGGACTGCTGAGTTCGTGCAACCGCAGTGAAATGTGAAACCTAAAAATAGATGTGTACATAATTTGTTATTGTGCTTCTCTTTTACTCCCAGGCTTCTAAATTTAAAAACATGGGACAAAATGTGCTTAATTTGGAGGACGTGGTAACAGAGAGGACCCTGCCTCTGAAGTTAATCTGCTGAGAGCTTTAGAGCAGAGCGACACACTGCAGGGGAGCACTCTCCCCAGAGGATCTCCAACGAGCCAGGGTGGCCTTCCGAGGACGCTTTTTAAACAAACTGAAACCGTGCCAAGAACACATTTTATTGACATTTGCTTCATTTAGCATTGAGGAAGCTGTGTCTTATTTGTAGACAGATTTATTGTTTTAAGCTTGAGGGATTCATGGCCAGATTCCTGCTCTGAATAACAGAGTGGCTTCCTCAACATCATAATAAAGAATATTAAAATTGCCTTTTAAAAAGCCTTTTAAATTGCACTGTAATTAATTGCCACCAACTCAACACCCCCCTTAACAGACCATAAATAAATAGAATAAATAAATAAAGGTTAGATTGCTTATTTTATTTCAAGTCCAAAAGCCAAAAATATGATGTATAATAATGTATATGACAAATTTTTACTGCTGAAATAGTTTCACCTACTGAATCAATTAACAACATTATTTATCCATCAATAATAAATTATTTGAGCCCAAACAAGACCGGCTTGTTTAGGGATTATGGCCATCTCAACGTCAGGACCAATGGGAACTTCTGTGATTACATCTTGTATATATTTAATAACTACAGGTTTCAAATATCTGTTATCATCTATTCCAGAGCTCTCATTTGTCCACCTTATCTTGTATATATATATAAACTGGCTGAATAAGACAGTGTAGTTAATTAATATCCAATCAATGTAAATTATTTTTAACATATTCATATAAAAAATAATAATACTTCATAGTGCAACAATAAACTTTAAACACGGTTGAGTTTTTCACAGAGTTAGGTTTCTCTGCAGGATGGTAAATGAAAACTATTCTGGATGCATGTTTTGTCCCAGGTGCCTCGATGATCAAACTGGTGAGTTCCTAGTTGACTTTTATTTGACAAGTGGATCAAAGTGCTGCTTCCTTATGGTTTGGCTGAGGAACAGTGGGAAGCAAAGCCCTGCAGCCACAACACACGACTACATGCACAGCATCTCATGTCATGTCTGTACTTCTGCACTGAGGGCTTTTACAAAAAGACTGAAGTCATCGCGCTGATACATTCAGATCACACAGTGGTAGAATCAACTAACAGAAGGCTGTGATCACTGGGGTGTCAATGGGACTTTAGAACAGTACCTGTGAAGCCCGGTGGTGGCTTTTTAAAGACACTGTATTAGTATGCACTTAGAATAAGGGCCTTGTTTACCAATTGCTGTAGATTTGTAGATACAGTACAGGAGAAAAGCTCTGTTTGCCATTTTCCTTTTGTTTTTGCAGGGAAAGGACAATTGTCTTTTTTTGACACTGTTGTGAAACTTTTCTGTCTCCAGTGTTTTAGTAGGTAAGGATTACGTTTGAGGATACACTGGCTGCTTGATAAGTAGGGAACAGGTTGCCCGTACTGTTCTCCATCTTCTATCCTTGAACTGAGCCAATCAAATTCAAGCTAAACAATGGCTGTGTATGACACAGGCTGTCGACTGGCTGCCTTTTAAGCCGCTCTGCACAAAGTGATGTCTCTGACACTGAGCCAGTTTTCCCTCTTGCTTCGCTGTTATAGAGACGGCTAATACCTGACCTAATGTGAGCTGAGGTTTGACATTCCCCTCATGTGAGAGACTCAGCAGTACAATGAAACCTGACTGTAAACTCAGTATGGGCTCAGCTATTGAGTATCACGTTGAATGCATCTTCATGTTTAAGTGGAACACTGCTGCTACAGATAAGAATGACTGAACTTCACCTGAACTTAAGTTGCCTAAAAATATATCCAGTCAACAAGGAACAGTCACCATTTAGAAAACTAATTAACCTAATATGTAAGCAGTTTGACGAGCAAAAACATTCTCAACCTCTGAATCATAGCCCAAAGCAACATAATGAAAAGGCATGGTTGAATGCTACCAAGATTAAGATTTTACAAAAACAACAAATGTGAATAATAAAAGGAAATGTTATGATGAAAATAAAATACTGCAGTTTTGGCCAATAAAGCGTTTTTTAACAGCCCTTTGCCAAAAGATTAAATGATCAGGTCGGCTGTTATAAAAGTAGCAACAGACTGAGTAATCGGTCGACTGATTAACTGGCATTATGAGATAACTGGTATTGGCTGATGTCGGCCCCCATGAGGCAGATAAATTACTTAAAAGCAACTCCCCTACTTTCATGTCCTTAGAGATGCTGAACTTCTGAATGATGCTGCAGCCAAATTCTGCTACGTGACAAAAGAGCCAAGATCAAGATCAAGATGTGTCATTCCTCACCTCTCCATGTACCCCGATGGTGAGCCGTTCAGCCCGTCCAGCCTCTCCTGCAGCGCAGCCAGGATCTGTGGATTCTGCATCATCTGCACAGTCAGCTGACGAGCTGAGCACACAAAACACAGAAAAGTCCAACGTGTAAGATGAAGGCAGACAAATTCAGGAGGTATGAAAGAGTCATTTTGGTCATATTTGGGACAGGAATCAAAGGCAAGCACAAATTGAACTCTTTCTACTCAGTAATGTGACCTGAGCCTTAAACAACAGCTGAGTTTTCCTGAGTTATAGTGCACATCACAGAATAATGGCACCGCAGAGTACAAGAGCCGTTTTAATCTCTCCATCACCTTCCTGCATACTTTGTTGTTCATTTGAGTAAATAACAGCCTGAATCAAGTCCACTTATTAACATGCCAATGCAGCAGAGACACAAGAGGTGCCAGTCACCAATAATAAATGCTGCTCTCCTTTTGTAAAAGCAGACAGGTGACATATGGTACGAAGTGAGTCTCCAACACATTGCTAATCAAAGCTCAGTCTGATTGCCGCTGGCAGGTGAGAAGATTAAAGAGACTGGAAGTCACTTTTCTCTGTTGGCACACCCTGGCCATTTTGCTTGTGGTGTGTTAGAAGCTCAAATAGATCTTGCTGTCCAAGACTTTGCTTCCAGTAAAATAAAAAGACTCACGCTGGTCTAAAAATCACAAAAGAGGTACTGGCTGAATGATTGGATACAAAATACCACTTTGGGTGGAGAAATCAGTGAGAATCAGCCGCTGCCATCACAGAAAGTTGATATGTACAGACGTTACATAACCACTGTGTCAACATAGCAAGTGGGTATAATTTATTTCTCTAGTGACATCCCTACACTTTCTAACATAAAAAGGTACTCCACTCGAAATGTTTCCTACAACTATACAACATTTGGCCCTTGCAGGTTTAAACAGAATCTATAAATGTTTGTAGCCTGTAATTTTCATGAAGCAGCAAGTAAATATCTTTAATTCAATCATTTATAGAGTAGAAATCAATTGACAGCTGCTTGTTGTATGATTGCTCTATGGTACTTTAACATGCTTCTGAAGAGATGGCTCTACTCTAACAATTAAAGCACAATTACCTACAAATGTCTGTAGTTTGCTTTAATCATCAACAGCCCATCGACTTCAAACTTCCTGGATGTTTTGCTGCGGGTCCAAGGAAGTGCGGTGCTAGCTGAAGTTTTTGGGAAGCGATGTTCTCGAGGGAGCTTCAACATCTCTTTTATACACATTGCTTGATTTGAAGAAAAATGTGGAGCTACGCCACTGAGGCCAGTGTAGCACCTGGATAATTTGCACTGCGCACATGCCAGAGTTTTAAGAAAGCTGGAACTCAACTGAAGGAGGGGACACATTTATGTCATGGCATGTGTGTTGCTCTGAACCCAAAGAGCAGTGTCGAGCTTTAAGTTTTCAGGATGATGCTCTCAAGAAAGCTGCAATCGGGATTTATGTGCGCCAATCCCCCTACAGACAGGCACATTTTAAACAAGCACAGCATGAGTGTAAATAAAAGAAATTTAATTAATTCACTGAGACACAGTAATGTCTGTGGCGTATATGGAAAATGCAACACCCTTACTGCATTTCTGGAATAGTCGGCCCCTAATGGAAAGCTCTGTTCCAACCAGACATGCATTTTTAACAAAAACATTTATGCATCCCCTTTTTAAGAAGAAAAAAAAAAAAAAGCTAAACTGTCGACAGTGAATAAACTTGAGGAAGAGTTACTGTATAATTTACACTTTATTTCAGCAGATATATTTTCACCTTTGGATTAGAAACATCAGTTCACTTTCACAAATCTTCAGAGCGGAGACATGCAGGTCTTCTTAGTTAGTTACTCGTGTCTCATAGCAGCCTTGATGTGTCAGTGTGTTATATGAGTGGTTTCTTAACAAGAGTTTGCAACGCACGTTAACACCAGCGGTCTGTGTATTACTCATGCATTTCTAATCTCACCTCAGCTTTCAGACTTCTTGTACGACTTTCCTGAGTGTGTGGTCGTTATGACTGATCACTTGCACTGAGTCAGAACGAGCCTTTAATCAAGTCTGCCTTCTAAAACACTTTCTAAATCTTGCTATAAATAGAAAAGGCCAAACACCCATCTATATCTATCTACAATGAGCCAGAAGTGGGCTTACACATTGGAGCCGTCTGAATCATTTAACGAGCATCAAAAGGATGCATAAACAGCATCCTGATCCTAAAATAAAATGGATTAGTGCCTCCCAGCTTCTCACTACAATTTTAAAATCATTTCATGCAAATAACTCCTCAGTTCAAAAACAAAACATAGTACAAACATTTTTATATAACCTGAATCCTTTAACATTTCTGAACTTTTGGCAGAGAGGCTCACCTTTGCTGTTTTCATCTTCTCCAGTCTCCTCTTCTTCCACTTCCTCCACATCCTCCATATCTGCTGGGTCCATTTCAGCCTGGTCTTTGCTGCTCGGGGAGACAGAGGGAAGACAGAAAGGTCAGACAAAACAGACACTCAGGTGTTAAACAGTCAATTAAAGCAAATACAACCAATCTGACTTTGAGGCTTTGTCCAGTCACAGCACCTTTTTGACAAATTTGAGTTTTGAGTTCCAATAATCGGAGGGGTCCCTCAGAATGCAAACTAGTGGTTATAATGATTCAGCGGCAGGACATTGCTACAACAATGAACGTAGCGGAAAATATGAATCGATTATTTTCTGTCACCGCATCGATGAAGGACAGTGTGCTCCCCTGTGGGTTTGAATATGTTGTACCACACCTACATCAGTGATGTCACAGCTGGTGTATCTATCATTTTAACCGTCACTGACCCCTGGAGGCTACTTCAGGGACAAGACAAACACCCAAAAGCAGAAGAAGAGACAGGTGGAGGAGAGGCCAAGTGTTTTCAGTCATCACTGAGGGAAAATGTACTCACTTGTCGATGTCTGCCATTTTAGCTGAGTCTCAGGTGATGCTAGAAAAAAAACAAAAGAAAATAATTAGTTTTGAAATACTGAAGAACAGATTAATTACTTTTGATCAACATATACTGTCACCAGATCTGGGTCACACAGCATTTACAAATACACTTTAGCGCTTATTTTAAATTGCTTACAGCACTGCAGGGGTGATGGCATAGTGAGTTCAACTGACTTAATTACAAAACACTAATAAAACATTCCCACATTAAAGGTTAGCTCTGATGGGATTCACACCTCTTTATACTTAAAGGGATCCGACACATCTGGCAAGACAAGATGCAGGTGTACACATCCAGCATGCCTTGGGTTCAGTAAAAACATTAATGAATGCCCAAGACGGTTCCAGTTAATCATTAAACTTAACATTTAGATATGTGGCAAAACACCCCCCTTCCCATCACTCAACCTAATTTTTTTTTTTTTTACATAATGGCAGTAAAAGCTTTGCACCCTAACATTTTGTTGGAAATCAAATAAAAATGAGCGTTGAAGGTAATCCTACTCATGCAAATGATTGCTGTGTGCACTACCACGTACAAAGGAAACTGCATAAAAAAGCAACAATATGCAGCAAACAGTCTGCATATGATGAAAGATCAAAGTTGGTTTCTTCATCTTAAGCTCTACAAGACACAAAAAGGCCGTTTGAACAAATTCAGCCATTTAAATCTAGTCAAATCAGCAAAACAGAAACACTTCTTAATGTATGCTTCACCTCTATGAAGTCTACCAGTCACTGTTAAGAGGAGCATACACTTAAACTTTTCAATGGATGGAGTCTGACTCTGTTCCCTTGTAAAGGGAACAATCTCACGTGTAATATAACATTTGAAATGTCAACAGAAGTGAAAATGATCAGCACTGGGGTTGGGATGATGAAGATGCCACTGTCACCATCATGATGACAGCTATTCAGTGGTTTGTGTCCATTCTCAAAGTCTCACAAGTTCACGTTTTACAGTGGAAAATTCCTGCTCTTGAACACGACCCAATACATTTCTTCCACATTATAGTAGTTAGGTAAAGGTTTCTTCTGCTGCTTGGAAACATAACTCAGGACTTGTTTGTCAGGCATCTGCACTGTCTAGGGAGGAGTTCAGATAAATCAAGCACTTTATTCCACAACAGTATGAGTAAATCAGGACGTCCCTCACAAAACAATTGATCTGCACTTTGTTCTGACCGAGACTGGAAAAATACATGTCTGCAAAGCACATTTATAAGTATTATTATAAGGACTGATTATAACTCAATGTCTATGACTATGTTGTGGATAATGTAAAATGCAAGCACGTTCAGGTCAGGGGAAACTTGGATTTACAATAGGCAACCATTAGGATGTATGTTGTGTTATGATAGAATAATGTCCATCATTTAATATTGTGTTCTATTTTTTATTTCTTTGTGACACTACGAGATAAACTAGAAAATGAATCTGCTGAAAATGTGCTATAAGGTGAAATTGTTATCTGGATATGAAATGACAGATATCAGTTTTGGAGTTCTGGTCGTATTGCACAGCACTACTATAAGAAAGCAAGGCAACAGATCAGGACCTGGAAGTGGCCGTGTCAAAACTCACTGAGGTGGCTGTAACTCAAACCTAAAGCCTTGCAGTGAATAATAGACTGGGAGAAAATTTGCCTGTCAAATGTAACTGAGCCACATCAGCTGTTAATCTGAAGTGGTAGAGATTTTCAACACTGGTGCTGGATCAACACAGATACAAAGCAAAGATACAAAACACTCGAACGCGTGTTTCAAAATATCAAATTATAAACTGAGTTTAAATGTTAGATTCTCTATTGATCCTGAGGGAAGTGTACTGTTGTGTTGTATGGGTTTGTCCTACCTATCCCTCTGTCCACACCGCCCATCAGCAGTGTGGTGTAAATGAGCACAAGAAAGACGACACTCCCCAACAGACAGAGGAGAAATTCTTGTAGTTTAGCTGAGCTAAAGCAGAGGTAGCACTTCCCACATAGCAGCTCTCTCAAGGGGCCATTAATGTGCTTCTAGTGACTGTCAAAGCTCTGCTGGACTCCCTGTTCTGCCAGCAGTGAGTCTGACAGGAGCTTCTCATGGCTTGTTAGCTCCAACAACCTGCTCTGTGTCACTGTCCATGCTAAACTGCGGCGGACAGTCAGTCTCTCCCATGATGCAAACTATGCCGCCATGCCTCCCAGTTTCAGCTCCTTACTCATCTGTTGGCTTTTTAAAAATGTTGGAAGAGGCTTCTAACAGAATAGAAGGTGTGGTCAAAGGCAGCAGCTGATCTGTCCAATACATGTTTATGCAAGGTTTTCAATTTCTTCCTGAAATCAAAATGCAAAAACAGGTCTATGTTCACTCTCCTCTGCAATAAAATCAATTCAAACAGTAGACATTTTGCACAATTAATAAACACCTAATTATTTCATTTCAAATAGTTTGCAAACATTTTAACTGCTTTCTACAATTAACAATTCAAAGGAAGGTTGATGAAATTGTAACCTAATACTTGGTAACTGTTGTAGAAAAATATCAAGAGTTGGGTCTCATCTCATACAGTCAAACACGGTTCATTGCTTTGAAGAAGCATTAGAATGATTAGTGGATTAACTGATAAGTCAATCTGCAAAATCAATGGACATTGTTTGGCCTTTAGACAGGTGGTTGAACAAAACAATTATTCACTGATTTATTAAAAGAGCTGACAGAGTAATCAATCATGAAAATTGTTGTTCATAACAGGATTACTCCTCTGAATACCAATTAGTGACTATGAACAATTCTGGCAAACGTATTGATATTACCGTAAAAGATAAAATCTTGGGTAATACACTCAGTATAAACAAACTTGTTTTGCCGACTTCAACCACACCGCCCAACCCTAACCCAGAGTCCCACGGTCTCTGTGCCAGGTAAGACATCTGTATCCTATAATCCCAATACAAACTACAAACTCTTTCTTTTCATAAAATAAAGCTTGAGACTGTGGCAAAGGTTCCTAATCCAGGTCTAGCAGCTGCCCACCTACGGGTTTACCATCCTGTCAAGTGTTCAGCTACATTCACCCATCATCCCACAGTCAGTGGCTTTTTGAATTGCATCACTTCACAGCAGCTCAGGCTCCAAGGCCCCAAACTCAGAACATCTTGAGTCACCCACTGAGATGAAACTGTTCCTCACAGGGGACCAACAATCTAAACCAAAACCAAGAGATATTTAGGCCGTTGGGATTTTTCTTTAAATGAGCACGACGAAAATATTTTTAAGGAAAGCCATCAAATCATCAACATCCCTGCATATCTTAGTTGTCCTACATTTTACTTATACAGTGACAATATTCAACCACAGAGCTGTAGTGACAGTTCACACATCTCAAAATAAAATCCACAACAGATCAAACAGTTTCGTCCTTCATGAGGGTACAAGTGATAAAGAGTGTGTGTGTGTGTGTATTTATGGCTTTCATCAAATCCTATTTCATCTCAACTGAGAGCTTCATTCTGTCATTTCCTTGAAACGGCGACACATTTTGAAGCTTTCACTTTTCAGTCGACATGATCCCAAAGTGAATGACTGCACATGGCCCCTGTTATCTCGCTACAATATCTGGGGTAAGATGACACCCAACAACACAGCCATCTTGTCTTCTCTATAATGCCAAATTATTGATGGGAAAGCTCTTAGCAAGCAGGAGCACACATTTTTCAAATACACTGTTGTTGCGTAAAATGCGATGACAGGGATTTTTCCAGTCAATTTGCAGTACTTTATAGATGGACAGAAATATATGTACGCTGGGAGACTAGGCTCTACTTTTTACACCGATGATGTCTGAGAGGAGTTAGAATTAACATTTATTCTTTATCATTTGCTGATACTAAGGTTCCTAATATGCCTGCATGTGATTGAATATCTCAATACGACGTGTTATTGTGTCATGCAGCTCAATCAGAACCACCATCTATCTCCACAAGGAATCAAGCATCTGTCCAAGTCTTGAAACATGATAGGAGATTTCTCTGATAACATGTGGGAACATCACAGCTGCACATGTTGAGTTTGACCTGTCACTCCTCCACACACATGGGACATATGAATCACCTTCACATATGTCAAGACAAAAGGCCGGCAGATACTACTAGACAGTACATATGATCAGTTCTGTGTGAGAGCTGCTTGTGTACCAGTGAACCATCAGACTGATCACACACACACTTCTCCTCTCTGGTACCAGCCTCCCCCCCCACCCCTAATCCTGCCCAGCGACCACGTGTTGCATGCTCAAGTCTAGCAAGCCGCCAATGACTAACAAAAAGCGCAGGGTGGGAGCCTGCTCTCTCTTAACTCTTGACATATTTACAACTCCATGCAGCCCAAACAAGGCAGCTGCTGAGACGTCAATTGAATAAACGTCCCCTCGCGTCCTTCACAAACCCCCCGGCTAGTAAACTGGCTAACTTTAGCCGGCCTGTGCCCGGTCTTGTCAACGCGCTGCCTCGCTCTGTCCGGCTAGTTAAGCTAGCTTGCGCGCTGCTAGCTTGATGCGCACTACCCGGGTCTGAGCCAGTGGGAGGACCAGCCTCGACAGACTGTGGCCATGAGAATGTGGGCCAGTGGACAAGTGGTGCCACGGGCTCCTGTAGCACGTTTGAAGCCGCTTTTGTTGTGTCATGCTGCCGTGTGAGCCATTGGAAGCAGCCGCGGTGCGCCGCGTCCCTAAAAGTCCAGAGTCTCGTCCCCCACTTCCCCGCCCTGAGGATCATCCTCCAAATAATTAAGGTCGAGTCCAGAAAATACAAGATACAAGACACGTGTCAACAAATGTCGAATAACGATGACAATTACAGGAACTATTTGACGTGTTGTTGTTTCCATCAATGCTGTAATTCTCGGGTTAATCCCCGGAAAGAGAATACAGATGATTGTTTGATATTTTTTTTTATCGCGTGTATCGTTAACACATCATGGTGGAGCCATGCTCGATGGCTGCTGCCGCTGTCTGACTTGCTCGGTAGCATTAGCAGAGACCGAACCGTCTCCCTCCGCCGTCCGCTGGATAAAGCGGCTCAACCGGGGTTTTAACTTCCGAGACGACGCACAAGTTCTGGGGCGTCGGCGCCGAGGCCGCGTCCAGAGTCCAGTCCCTTACCTTCTCTCTGTGGCCGGAGGCTGGACAGGTTTAGACGGCGCTGCGCAGTGAAGCGGTCCCGGGGAAGAAAGACACTCCGCTCCGATGGCGGTAAAAGGGAGCGAGATCCCGCCGCCTGCGCTCATATACATCCTACGTCATCACGTAAACTGGCAGTCACCGAGGCAACGCTGCTCATGGGAGGGGCAGAGGCGAGGGCGCCCCGGGGGGGAGGCACAGGGGAGAGAGAGATATATCATCATCACAATCATCATCATCAAGCACCACCATCATCATCATTTTCATCATCATTAACATCATCATCTTCATTATCATTAACATCGTCATCATCATCATCAAGCACCATCATCATCATTAACATCATCATCTTCATCATCAAGCACCATCATCATCATTAACATCATCATCCTCATCTTCATCATCATCATCATCATCAATAATCATCATCATCATCATCACCACCTTCATCATCATTATCAAGCACCACCATCATCATCATCACCACCTTCATCATCATTATCAAGCACCATCATCATCATCAACAATCATCATCATCACCATCATCATCACAATCATCAAGCACCATAATCTCAATCATCATCTTCATCATCATCACAATCATCAAGCACCACAATCTCTCCTCCTCCTCCTCCTCCTCCTCCTCCTCACTGGGACTCACACTGTTATAACCACCTTTAATTTCACCAGAACATTATTAATTTCATTATTATTGATTATTTACAATAATTACTGCTTCAATGAAGTGATGTCATGATTCAAACCTGAAGGTTCATCACTGACCTTGGAAGAAGCTATAGTTTTTCTTTAAAACTTTCCGACCACATCATGACTTTCATCAGCCATTTGACAATTCTAGATAGGATTTTATTTCCCCGTAATCCTGCCTGACATACAGTGGGCTTTATGATAATGAGCAGCAGTAGACCTGCCAAAGGATACATGGGCCTGAAGAATTTGCATCCTATTTGCATTCTGTACCACTGCAGTGGCTGAGTTATAAATTATGTTGTTGTCCAGCCAGTGAGAAGCCGCAACCCCCTCTCCTGCCGACAGATATCAAAATCATCAAACTGGCTCCTGTCTCAATACTGTGCCAATTGTTGACACCATGTACATGTATCTAGTAATTAAGTTAGGTGTGTTCACAGCAAACCAAGACATTACCACAAGCAGCCACGTTTTTTTCTGTAGCCTTCCTCCTTCTCAGGTGTTCATGCCAGGTTCTCAGCCGTGACTCACTTCATTTTGCTCAGTTCTCTTGTAGTTGCTGCAGGTGAAACCCTCGATGAAAATATCTCATGCTCTCAGGTATGTCACAGTTTCAATTGGAATTTTCTCACTTGTCAAAACCAACAAAACTCATGGAGGAGATGTTCCAGAGTGTGAATAACTGCATCATTTGTGTTCAGTATCCCACAATATGAGAGGAAAAAAGTATTCTCGGTTGGTTTCCAGGAGAATACATGCTGATTTGTTCATGAATTTAGAAATCCCTGACCTACGTTATACAGATGAAATTGTCTGTGAGGATTTCAGAGAGATTCGTCTGTCAGGCAGCACCAGTCTGAGTGTTAGTAACGCCAGACTCACTGCTCAGCATCAGCTCTCTCTGAGCAATGTCTGGCACAAGCCCAAAGGTCAGATCTGTCATCCAACACTTTCCAACAAGAGGAAGCCTTCCCACGTGCGCCATGCCATGTCAGAAACTTGTAAGTGATTTTTTTCCCTGAGTCATCCAGGCTGGTAGTGTATGAATAGACAGTGGAGCAGATGACTGGAGGTGTTCACGGATGATTTTCTACTCGTGCAATGTTTCATTACACTTCATGACTCTGATACTTGAGAGCTGCCAGGTTTAACCAGTAAGACACTGGTGGTTGGTGAGCAGCTTTAGAGCAGCTGGAGGGATGGTGGTAGTAAGCATTGTCGCCTCACAGCAAGAACGTTCCTGGTTCTAATCCCAGTTTCGTCCGGGTTCTCCAGATTCCTCCCTCAGTCCATAAACACGCAGATTGGGGTAGGGTTAGAGAGTCATGCTGACTTTCTCCGCCTGGTCCTCTATAAAGTCTGCAGAAATGTGAGAACACAGGAGATCCGCTGATGATTTCACTGCGAGGACACGAAAATTTAAAAAAACAAACAAACATCTTTGGATGAAAAAGCGGAGCCATACACGCAGAAGACACAACGAAGATGTTAAAAGAGTTTGTGGTTATAAGAGCCGACACAGCAGTCGATGTGCTGCAAACAGAATCCTGTGATCTCTGCAGCGGAATTTATATGTTATATCCTGTTTCTGTCTGCTCCACCAACACTCACCTGAATCCTGCAGGATTCTGTTGCTGTTGTAAAAGCATCTGAGCGGAGAACCCCCCCGTTGCGCTGTGCACACGTTAAAGTCAAACTGCGGAGAAAGTCTGGTTCCAATTCTCCTGAGTTCTTCTGCAGGAAATGTCTGAAAATGGCTTATCTTGGCCCTTTGATGGACTGGCGACATAGAGCGTACCCCACCTCGCTCCCAGTGTCAGCTGGGATTGGATGGATGGAAATGAGTGTGGCACATTAGCCTCAAGTAGTACAAGACACCTAATTCCCAGCAGACCTGTCTGCAAGTGAGATGCTGTTGTCAGCAGGTTCTAATGATGAAGAAGAATGAGTGGAATAAAGAAAGACGATATCTCTGGTTGTGCTGCATTGATTTTGATCCATTTCTCAATGATACAGGTGCAATGCTACATTTTAAGTGGTGTCAAGCAGTGCGAATACATTTCAGTTGACAAGAATGATTCAAGCTGCATTTCTAACAGTACTGGCATTTCAATTTCTATGCCACTAAGCTACAAGGTAAATACTGTGTCGAAAGCAAATCAAAATAAAGGTCAAAATTGGCAGTAATACTGAAACACAACAAACCCCACTTTTAGCGTCATGAATTAATCCTATATGAGACTTTTCATAGTATATATCTCAATGCCACTTTACTAAAAGCAACTTTTTTAAGTGTAACTTCTTGCAGTGTCCCCCCCTCGTCTACTTGATTTACACTCAGGTAATCATTTTGCGAGAGCAGCCGTCAGTCCGTTTTTTCGAGCTGTGAACTTCACATTTTGGACTTAAATGTTTCAAATAACAGAGAAGCTCCTTCTCTCAACAAAAATCATCTCCGCTGAGTTTGCATCTACGGTGGCAGCCCGGGCCGTCAGCAGGATATCTGATAAAACGTTCAAACTGAACTGCATTCTGGGAGCAACAGTCTGGGTGATGCAAGTTTATTTAAATTACACTGAATTGCACCAAACAGACGACAGAGCATTTTGAAAGGGTGTGGAGTCACTGCTGCATGATAATGAGAACTGGGTTCCAGCTAAAACGTCATACAGGCTACATGCCAGCATCGAAATGTCAAGGTGGGCTTGTGTTTGGAGCCATGAAACTGGCACTGAGTTCTCCATCACTGCTGGGGACAATTATCTCTCGGTTTGAATCCCCCAGATGGGATGGCGCTAAATGAGAGGCTGAAAAGAAGTAATTGAGGAAAGTATCAAACCAGAGTTATACAGGTGATGGAAGACTGTAGGTGTAGACATTTATTCTGTTATCCAAGGTTTAGTTTCAGCCCGGATACACACACACAGCTTTATTTCCCATTAGCTGTGTCAGACTCAAATGATGACTGGTTTCACTTGAATAATCCAGATCATTAAACATCACCCTCTGTTCACTCCCCCGTGTGCCGAAGTGTCCTTGGGCAAGATGCTGAACTGACACTGAACTGGTACATTGTGACAAGAACAGCACTACCAGTGGTTTGAAAGTTTGAGTTTACTTTCTGAAATGCTGTCGCACATTCTGCTCTGCTCCTGCAGAGTTTCTCCAATTGCACAAGCACAAATGTTTTTCTGCCCACGTCCTGAAGCTGCCACTTTGTATTTACAAGTTGTCTGTCCCTTGAGGATGATATTTTAGATACGTTTGTGTTCTCTGGAAGGTAACACTAATATAATGAGCTATCACTACAAGCTTATTAGAAGTACCTGATGAGATAACATTTCCATCTTTAGCAACACTGGCACCAGAACACAGGGGACAAGACTATTTTTCCACTTCCAGGTTGCATGGTTAGGAAGTGGTAGCATCATAGCCAGGTAGATGGTGATAATATAAAATTTGATTTTAAAACTGTGTCTCACGTGTGTTTCTGTCTGACTGCAGTTCCGGAGTACTGTCATAGAAACCGTCCCCTTTGTTCAGGTTCTGGCAGCAGCTGGAGAGGTGGTGAATGTTTTTAGTGACGCGGACAAGCTACTGCATCTCTACCTCTCTGTCTCTGTCGTTTGAAGACCTGCATCTGATCTATAATGGCAGAGAAATGGTTTAACTAGCTGCTCCTCCTGCACTCACACTTAAACCTGACTGATGTAATGGATATAAGAAAACGTTAAAAAGGTTTGCCTCGGGGGTGAAAGAGAGTAGTACTTTGGAAAATAAACCTGACTTTGAAATTTGATGCTATCTATTTGGAAGTTAGGTTTTAACTGTTTCCTGCTTACTGGAAAGGAACAATTTTACAAATGTTGCACACTTGTCAACATGTTGCTTCATTTGATGAATAATAAGCCGCAGAAGCTAGCAGGCGTGTCTACCCTCAGTCGCAATCAGTCCTTTCTCGGTCAATAATGCAGGGGGGTGGTGAAACTTTAATTTTGGACTCGAATGCATTCGCAGTATCAATCTGGTGTAGATTTCCCCTCCTCGCAGGTCACTGTCACTGTGTGCAAACAAAGCGGAACTATTTATACACTTAAAACCTGATAGCCCATGTGTGTTGTCGTGAACAATGCAACAATAGATTCTAGAATGAGACGTCCTGACTGAAGTACCGTGCTCGGTGAGGGCCGTGACATTTCAGTTCACATTAAGAGGCCCGTCCAATTAATATGAGCTCGGGTGCCCACTTAACAAATTAAAATTTATTCCCCAATTACCTCAAAACAACTGCTCTCTTAATATGCTCGACTTGCTCTTTTGTCAGCTAACTTCCTGAATAGAGCTTTAACTCTCAGCACGGCTCCTTTCACACAAACAGACCCACACACACCCTC